ATAGAAAACTTTGAATCAATCTGACTGGATGATCTGGTTGAACTGGAAAGTAAAATAAACTGAGTAGAATTTAACTGACATGCTGAGATTGAAACCATTAACGCAAAGTACGGAGCGCATCAGGTATTCATTTAATTGTTTTTATTGTTTATTCAGATTAGGGCAGCAACCAATGGTTATTTTGCACATCGATTAATCTGTGGATAATATTTTTCAATTGGTCGAATTATAATCTAATAGCCAAAGATTCCTTAGAAAATATTTTTTTATGAAATTGAACCAGGTGAAACTAAAACTTTTCCACTTGAGGAGTTCTGGATTTTATAGCAGATGATGGATGAAATTTTACTTTTTTATGTTAAATGAGAAAATGATTATATATTTTTATAATTTTGATGTAATTCCTGCTGTAAGCTCTGTCAGCTAAAAGCATGTTTTAGAGTCTCTATACTCCAGTTAATGATTAATGGATTGACAATTATTTCAGTAATTGATTAATCCAATTGTTTCAGATTTTAATGTGGGAAAGGGTTTAATGAAGCACATTTCCTTTTTTCTCAAACCTAAGCAGATTCATAAGAGTCTGAAATGAGTGCCCATAATGATGAAAGATGAAAGAAGTTAAACCTGCTTGTTATTGTCTCTTCTTCACTGTGCTCTCTGATTTCTGAAGTTTTCTGGTGCTTTTGATATTTCTGTGCAGATATAACGGTGCATTAGATGTTGAAACGTTTCTGAATGTAGAGTTCACAACCTGACAACTTAATGGATCTTTTTCTGCATTTCTGTCTTCTCCATACAGGGAGTCCTTCACGAACTCTGTCCACCATGTCTCTGTCCGTTCGTCCAGTCAGAAGGATCATTTCCAGGTCCATCACTAGGAGCCAGAGCTTCACTGGAGTTAACACCCAGGACAGGCCTTACAGGTCCAAACACCCACACTCTCTCATTATACCAATCATTTATATTATTATTATTATTATTATTAATCCTGGATGTTTTTTACATTTCTTACCATCATACAGTAGTAGCCACTCAAAATCTCCCCACTTTCCTTGATGGGTCCTTGGCTGGTGTTTGGCTGGTCTTTGGTTGGTCTTTGGCTGGTTACTTGGCTGGGTCCTTGGTTGGTCCCTGGCTGGTCTTTGGTTCGTCTTTGGCTGGACTTTGGCTTGGCCTTGGCTGGTCCTTGGTTGGTCCTTGGCTGGTCCTTGGTTGGTCCTCGGCTGGTCTTTGGCAGGGCCTTGGCTGGTCCTAGGCTGGGCCTTTACTGGGCCCTCGGCTAGTCTTTGGCTGGGCTTTGTCTAATCTTTTACTGGTATTTGGCTCTTCCCTGGTTGGTCTTTGGCTGGGCCTTTGCTGGACCTTGGCTAGTCCTAGGCTAGTCTATGGTTGGTCTTTAGCTGGGCCTTGGCTAGTCCTTGGTTGGTCTTTGGCTGTGCCTTGGCTGGTACTTGGTTGGTCTTTGGTTGGGCCTTGGCTGGGTCTTGGCTGGTCTTTGGCTGGGCCTTGGCTAGTCCTTGGTTGGTCCTTGGTTGGTTTTTGGCTGGGCCTTTGCTGGGTCTTGGTTGGTACTTGGTTGGTTTTTGGCTGGGCCTTGGCTGGGCCTTGGCTGGGCCTTGGTTGGCCCTTGGCTGGGCCTTTGCTGGTCCTTGGCTGTGCCTTTGCTGGGCCTTGGCTGGGCCTTTGCTGGTCCTTGGCTGGGCCTTGGCTGGTCTTTGGCTTGGCTTTGGTTGGTCTTTGGCTGGGCCTTGGCTGGTCCTAGGCTGGGCCTTGGGTGGTCCTTGGCTGGTACTTGGGTGGTCCTTGGTTGGCCCTTGGCTGGTCCATGGCTGGGCTTTGGCTAGTCCTTGGCTATTCTTTTACTGGTATTTGGCTGGTCCTTGGTTGGTCTTTGGCTGGGACTTTGCTGGACCTTGGCTGGTTGTTGGCTAGTCCTTGGTTGGTCTTTGGCTGGGCCTTGCCTGGTATTTGGCTGGTCCTTGGGTGGTCCTTGGCTGGTCCTTGGGTGGTCCTTGGTTGGCCCTTGGCTGGGTCTTGGCTGGTCCATTGCTGGACTTTGACCTTCTTTGGCTAGTCTTTTGCTGGTATTTCCCTGGTCCTTTGCAGGTCTTTGGCTAGTCCTAGTCCTTGGCTGGTCTTTGGCTGGGCCTTGGCTGGTCCTTGGCTAGTCCTTGGCTAGTCTTTGGCTGGGCCTTGCCAGGTCCTTGGTTGGTCTTTGGCTGGGCCTTGGCTGGTCCTTGGTTGGTCCTTGGCTGGTCCTTGGTTGGCCCTTGGCTGGTCCTTGGCTGGGCCTTGGATGGTCTTTGGCTGGTCCTTGGATGGTCTTTGGCTGGGCCTTGGCTGGTCTTTGGCTGGACCTTGGATGGTCTTTGGCTGGTCCTTGGATGGTCTTTGGCTGGGCCTTGGATGGTCCTTGGTTGGTCTTTGGCTGGGCCTTGGCAGGTCCTTGGCTGGGCCTGGGCTGGTATTTGGCTGGTCTTTTACTGGACCTTGGGTGGGCCTTAGTTGGTCCTTGGTTGGTCTTTGGCTGGGCCTTGGGTGGTTCTGCGACAGTGGCGTTGGATCTTAGCCTGACGTAGTCCGACTCAATTCTAGGCAGAATATGAGTCTGATACTGCTCCATAAAGCTGTGATTATGGGGCGTGTTTCGAACGAACCAGGAAAAAAAATGCCTCTGCACTCAATTGGATAGACATACAACCAATAAGAGCAACGGAGTGCGTGACGTATG